TATCTTTACAGTGAGGGTATGGATAAGATACTGATGTTTTGTTTTGTGCTTGAATACTTTCATGTTCTGTTAATAAATTGCAATTTTGAATGTGGTCATTGGAGTGTGAGAGATTGTTGTCCATTCTCTCTATGCCATCATCTGCAAAATGCTTAATAGCACAAATAAATGTTACATAAATGTTAAGGCGGTTTTTTTTAAGCAGTAGAAGCAATGTAAAAAAAAAAAAAAGATAATAGTGAAAGGCTTTCATTTGTGATTGTAGTCCTATTAAGATTCTGTTTGATTACCAGGTTAGAGGAGTTGTAATGTGCAGGTTCTGTTCACAGCCTTTTAAGATTTACTGATGCTTTAGTACCATGAGGTTAGGCTAAGAAATCTGTTTTGTTGCAGAGGAAATACATTCTGTTTGTTCTTCCAGGATTAAAGCTGGATGGCTGGTACTGTTACTCTCTATAGCCACAGGACCCGGTGCTCTGATGGACATTGCCACCCACAGGGCAATGACGTGGGATCTGCCCGTGTATGAACTCCTAAACCATAGTAGCTTTCAGTCTGCATATTTAACCACCCAGATGCCCGAGAGCGGTAGCAGACAGCAGTCCAAATTTAATCCCCATTCACAAACGCTTCAGAGACGGATTGTGTGTGATACACGGTGCCAGGAAACTGCCTGGTGTGTGCTGAGCTAAACCTGTATGACCATGTTGAACTATAACAATGTCTGAGGTAAATCTCCTGCTTCTCAGCACTCTAGAAGAGAGGGTAGGCATGTTGGCTTGGAAGAGTGACCAGCCACCAGCAGGAGCCTCGCCTGAGTATCTGACATGGTGACCCGTGGCACCTCTCACCCAGAGACAGTTTGGATTCAGTTACAGCTGCATGTCTGTATAGTTTGGTGTGTGGGCCTTGACCAAACTGGTCTTCATCAGCTGTTCCTTACACACTTGTGGAAGCAATAAGAGAATCAAGTCTTGGGTTCAGCAACCTGTAGTTCTTACTACTGACTCATGCTCAGCAGGGTATTGTAAAGATAGAAAAGCTTCTCAGGAAGCCGTTTCGGCATGTGGGCAGTACAACTAATCTGTCTGCAAAACCCTACGCTGACTCCAACTGAGGGCTAGAGTATCTATTCTGCTGATTAGGTGCTTTTCCAGCAGTAGCCAACAAACAAAATCTGCAGCTGGCAAAACCAACAGTTTATTCAGCTTGGTTTTTCTCTCGTTTCTCTCTTCTATGTTAAATTTCAAGAAGTAAAATAATACTGGCATTGAGGCCAGTCCAAAACTTCTGTGGTATTTCAGTCGTACTTGATTAATTTGGATTATTTATGTATCACTAAAGTAATATGCTTGGTGTAGGACTTGTTTTCTAGGAGGATATGCATGTATTTTTAATTACCAAAGACCTTTGTCACCCCAGACTGATACATCCAAAGAAATTTATTCTTTTTTTATGGTTATTTGTGTTTTCTGCCACGTAAGTTTATTTCCATCTTGGCAAAATGAGAAAGAATCAAAAGTCTCTTGATCTAAGTCTTTTATTTGTACTGGATTGAAAAGGTATTGAATTGCTTATATGACAGTCGGTACCTGACAATATAACATTTCTTTCTAATGCCCTTTATGCAATGTTTCTTCATGTAAAAACAGTATAACGAAAGGAAAGACAATTTGGGACTTTGGTCTACCATCTTTTCTTGTTAAAGAAGGTGAAAAGTTGAATTATCACAGGTGAACTGAGATTACATCCTGCAGCTAGAGGGAATGGAAAGAGAATTTGAATAAACCTTTAAAAAAAGTCTTACATACTATGATCAATTTCTATATAAAATAATTTAATATTTTAAATACTGTTTAAATAATTTATCTGTATTTAAAACTAACCTTTTAAAATTTTATGTTTGGAACTTTTTTGACATTAACACTTAAATAATTTTTTTAAAATATTAAAAAGTCTTTTAAATATTCAATACAATTCAATATAAAAACAGAAAAAGTAATATACATTGTTCACAGATAGTATTGTACATGACAGCTGAGCTCTAGAGTGAGCTTTTGAATTTGTCAGACAAGTCATAGCTTAGTTGTTGTGAACCACTTGCTTATACTCTCTCTGGACTCTTGAGATTGTAACAGATCCTTACCATCAATATGTAGTCTCTAATATTATATACACACACTGTATACAGCATTTAGTTTCCATCTCTACGTCTAGAATTGTAAATAAATATTTTTCCCAGCATTCAGATTGAAAGATTGTTTAGTGTATACACAAATATATTTAAGACGCACAAAATTGACAAGAAACAGACCAATTTTGCTCAGCAGGGTTAGGAAAACCTAACTTGTAGACGCAAAATAACGTAACTGAGAAGTTGCCACTGTTGTATTTAAAATGTATAATAACCTTACTATGTTTGCAGGTTATGTTAACAGTAGGGAAGTTAGGATTCACTTGTCGCCTTCGTGCATTTTCATTAATCCTGCCAACAGTAAAGGCAGCAGTGTAGGCATGATGCTGGTGTCTTACAGCTGTTGTGTCTGACACCTGGTATTTGCTGACAGGATTACAAACTCAGTGTTACAGACTTGGGCAGGGCTTCAGTAAAGGCCAAAGACCAGTCTCCGGTTTTTAAGCACAGACATGTCTGTCATTGATAATGAAGTTTGCTGTCAAATTGTCAATTGCTTTCTCCATCCTTCTGTACTGAATTCCTCTATTTAGCAAGATGATTTCTACATATACTGTAAATGGATTCTGGTGGAAAGAGGGGTACTCTTGTACTTCCTGTATTACGTGTCATGTATTACTATTGCAATACTTGTGTCCCATTGTACAAGGTAGTCCCAAAAACTCTTTGTTTCTCCTTGAAAAATTCTTCTCCAAGAGGACCCCAAAACTTTACAAAAACTAAATGGAGCTTTCTGCATAGCTACCTATGGATACTTGCAGAAGGAAAAAATAGCAATACAAAGCAACATTTGCCCTCAGGAGGCCTAGTCTAGAAACATTACTCAAAAGCAGCACATGCCACATGGTATGTGTAGTTATTCACAAATGAACATAACTCACATTTCAGATTTTGGACTCACACTTTCCTATTCATATGCAATCTACAAACTAGAAACTATTTGCAGGAATTATTGCATGGCTAATTATTTGTAACTGTTCCTGAAAATCTCTTCATAGATAACTCTGAGACACTGTTTCAAAATGAGTTTTCAAGAAGGATTTGAATACTTTGTTCATGTATTTGCAGTGTGAGATTCTGAATGAACCTTCAGGAAGGCGTAATTCACAAACTGAGAAGTAGCCTGCCTTCCTTTCACTCCTCCTGCCCTTCACTGTCATGAAGGTGCTTGAGCAAGGTGTTCATTCAGGTGATGGACTATATCTGTGGTAACTCTGGGCTTGGTTTACATGAAATTTGATTCTCCTGCTTTCAGGGGAGCAGACTCTGGAAAGGTAATTGTTACCTAGGGAGAATAAGGATTTCAGTCACTTTATTTTAATCCAGTTTAAGAGCTAAACTGAGGCCTCGGGTTTATTTCACAGTAAAAACATGGTACCACAACAGCCCTCCATTCGTGTGTTGAAGAACTCAGCCACAAAGATGGGGTTCTGTAGGATAAAGCAAGGAGTCAGTGCTGAAGTAGTTCTGCACTACATCTTTTATCACTTACATCACTGGTCAGGAATGCTGGTGTGCCAGCAAGGGACTGATTCTCAGCTGTTTTGTACAGACAGAGTTTCGGGTCCTGGTATTCTCAGCTCAGCCCGTTTCATTAAGACATCAAAGTCACAATGGGAGAATTTCAGATTTGGAAATTACATGGAACAATGATTAGTTTTGCTTGTGCAAATGTCTGTCTAGACTTAAAAGATTTCGTATTTAGATCTTAACCTTTCCTTGGACATCTGTGTGGTGTGTATATATAGATATATGTTTATACAGTTCATAGTTTATATCAGACCCAAGAAAGCTTTATTATTCGTTAGTGCTCTTTGGATGGTAAACTGAGCAGAAAAGGTGCAGTTTTTTTGTGAAGACATGTTATGGTAACTCAACAGAAGAAGGACTATATAAGGCTAAGCATACAAGAGATCAAACATTTAATTTTTAAAGTGAAACCGTGATGTCAGGTTTAGATTATTCATTTATGCTGAAGCCTGTACAAGACACTGAGTTACTTTTTCCACATTGGAATCCGGTTAACAGTAAAGAGACAAGTGTGGGGTTTTTTATGGTTTTGGTGGTGGGTTGTTTTTTTGGTTTTTTTTTGGTTGGTTGGTGGTTTTTTTTTTTTAACCAAGTGAGGATAAAGGCATCATAAATCCTTCATTTTCTTTTTGATGGTTAAAAAGGTCATCAGTTGAATTGTCTTTCTGGGGGGAAGGAAGAAGTAGTAAACACTGCAGAAAATTACCATGAAGCCTGTTCAACAATTCAGGCCAAACTTCCAGGTCAAATCCAGAAAGATATAGAAGGATGTGGGGAGTATCATCTTAACTTTGAGTTTTCTGATGGGTCAGACAAATTCAGAGTCCTGTAAAGTCACATATGCTCTCTGAAAAATGCATGAAGGGAGTTACAGGTCTGACTGGTTATGAGTGAGCTGGAGAGCTACATACCACACCTCAGTAAGAAGCAGTAACTGAAAAACAACCCATTTCTCCCTTTTCTATTTGGATTTAATCTACTCCTAAACGTGTTTACGATCACTCATTCAAATATTTAAGATGGACCACATTCTATTTTTATAAAAAAAACTGGAAGCAGTGACATTTCGGGCATTGTCTACCTGTTATTTTGCAATAGCCAGTTCAAAAAGGTGTGAGAGATGCAATACCCTATCATTCCAAAGGGACTTGCAGACACTTCTCCCACAGAAGAGTGCTCAGAGGAGCTGCATGCAGTCAGGCCAGGGAAAAATCCTTGGCTTCCCTTCTGAAACAGGGCCACTCTTCCAAAAGGAACTGGGGTCCAGAGCGGGGGGCAATGAGAAGCAGTATACTCCTTAAAAACAAATGATCAAACAAAACCCACACTCTTATTTGCTACATGTCATACTTCAGAGAATCAGGTTGTAACTACGAGTTAAGCAAAATCTTTAGACACAGCCTCTACGAAGTTTGGTGCTGACATTAAAATACCAATTGTACAAATGATTGTGAAGACTGAGAAAGCCATCAAGCAGAGCCGATCCACTACAGAGGCTGCAAACTTCCATTCGTTGCAAATGGCTTCCTCTTCATCCTGGTCTCTGAATCGGTTTGCAATGTACCTGACCTCTTCCAAGATCTTAGCCAAATCTGGGTCACCTTCAGAGGGGTGGCCACTGTGCAGCAGGTTTTCTTCATCTGTTGGTGAGCAGGTCATCCTCCCACAGATCACCCCTGAATCAGTGGTAGGTGTGCAGTGAACCCCTTCCAGCCCCCTAAACCCAATGTATAGCATATTCCCATTACTGGATTGCTGTCCACTCACAGTGTTCATCTCCACACTTGATAGGCTACATCGACGCTGTTTATGTTGGCAGGCAGGACGTACTTTATCTTCCCCTGGTCTTTTCATCCTCAGAAACCATGCACACCAGTTGAGAAGGATGATTCTTGTCTGAAAGAAAAGTTTGGAGAATAAGCATCTCTTTGCACAGCCCCCGTCTTTGGGCATTATCGCAGCCTGGATGACTGTCTGTCCACAGTCTCTGCTTAGTCTGCACAGCAGTTCTAGAAAACGGTGCCAGAGTTCTCCAGCTGATTAATTTGCCAATCTCTGAGGCTGCTTGCTTGTTCTAGCGGTACTGCTGATTGCCTCAGGCTGACTGTCACTACTGGGAGTCCCCCCTCCTCTGTTGGGAGTCTCCATAATGTTGATTTTTTTTTTCTCACACTTGAACAGTGATGCAGCAGCCTTTTCCACTTTTACTAGATACCATGAATTTAATAAAAAAAGAGTATCACTTACTGAAGAGGAGTTACTTTTTAATAGTCTTAATAGTGCTGCTCTAGATTGTAGTCAATAAATTACAATTTTTTCACTCATATTTGTGCTCTAATATTAAATTCACATGACATTACTGTTGGGAGGGGGCTGCTAAAACACATTCTAGACTGGACTGGACCACCAAGCTTTACAGTGGTTTGGCTCTGTTCTCGTTTTGCTTTCATGACATCTGATTGCAGATTTTAGAAAGCAGATCTGGATATAGCATGGAGATAAGGTGGAAAAATTGCTTTGATTTAAAAGAAAAAAAAACTTTGCAGATTTTATTGGTGTATGTCATTTTATTGTTTATTGCCTTAATCCAGCCTTACGGAAAATGCAGGCAAGCCAGAGACTGTTCCAATTCAGATGCAAGCTTCTGTAATTTATTTAAATCAGATTCCAAGAGCTCATTCCATTGTTTCTTTTCCAGAGCGCTAAAGAAATATTGGCTCATATAATATACAAATCTGGCACTGTAATTGATATTAAATTGGGTCCATTTATTATAGCTATGAATTACCACTCAGAGTAGATATTACATCCAGGCAAACATCGCATTCGGAGAGAGATCTTGCCCTGTTCCTCTATTTACACTATCAAGCTTCACCAAGAAGGATAGTATTCCATTAGCTGAGGGCCCTATCCAAAATATCCAAATAATGTTTAATGGACTTCATGTTCTCAACACTAAAGCTCAGTCCTTGACCTCAAGTACTGTTTTCTGATGATGTTTGGCTCAGTACTAAGCATTTGTCCCGTTTTGGTTATCAAATGTGCTTCTAAAGATAGGTACCTTTTATTCTTTTCATTGAAATTTAGTTTAAAGTCACTACCCCAGAACAGGCCACAGAATATCTCATTATCTCTTGTCCGCAGGGCACTGCTGTGTGCACATTCTCTTTGGCTAGTAAGGATAATAATAACTCATTGTTCTAGGGAGAAAAAAAAGAGAAAGGTCTTTACATTTTCAGTAATGCCTGATGCTGCCATGAGCTGGGTGAAGTCAGGAAGAGTGGACAGTTAGCTGATGATACGCATCAATATTTAGTAATCCAGGATCATTGTAACATTCTCAGCAAAAACAACCACTTGTTGAAGTACATGATAAAGAAAGTCTTAGGTGCTGAGAAAAAGACTTCACTTTTTCATTGCGCTTTCCATGTTGTTGACCAGAGATGTAAAGGTGAGGATTTTCAGCCCAAGTTTCACTTCCACCTTAACAGCCATCTTTACCAAGTGCTTTTTAGGCTGTTGATGTGTCTGTGTGCAGGGCAGCAGAATATGTAGCAGCTGCACAGCTGCACCTCGAGGCTAGTGTATTTCATGCATTTATAATCTCCAGTAGCACCTTATTCTTTCCTTCTACCTGCTTCACTTCTGACATCTGCAGCTCATTTTAAAATCACCTTCATTCATGTATTTAGTTTTAGCAAAATCCTGAGGTGCTTCTAGCTGCTGTGAAGGAGATGCTGAATATAGAAGCAAGTTGAGGTATATTTCTTCTTTCTCGTACACACAGACTCTAAGAAGCCAAGTACATGAAAGGTATCTTGACATCTCATTTCTGGGGAAACTACTTTTCAAAACAAACCATGTAGGAAGGGCTTATATGTTTTTAACAGTAAGAAGTAAACATGGGTCTCTAGCTATGCTGTCACATCCCTGATCTGGACATTTTTGCAATGGATAACGAATGAAAATCGAACCTTACCCATTTAGGCATCTTCCCCCCATCTGGATCATGGTGATGGTATTGTAGAACAATAACAGTGACAACAACAGAAAGGCCAACAATAATCATAGTGCTGGCAAAATACTGAGCTGCAAAATAAACAGATAATTACAGCAGTAGACTTTGGCTGATACTGCTCTGTAGCTATTATAAGGGGTGTTTATATGCATGCACACATAGGCTTAAGTTCTTTTCCTAGTGCAGTGATAACATGTGCTACCTCAGGAATTTCTCAAAAGCAGAAAAGGCAGCTGTTATTTTGAGAGTATAGCCAGACTTTAGTGATTGTGGAACTGAGCACCTGCCTTCTCTAAGCAACCTTGAAAGAAGTGTCCCCTAATTTTCTTTCACCAGTATTGTAGAGACTGGCTAGTACTTATTTTGAAAAGCTTCTGTTTGAGCAATTAAAATGGGGAGGTTTAATCATGTTTAGCTCAGTATTCCCAATGTCTAGCCAGTTATTGTCAAAACTTAACAACTTCTTGCATGGAGAACTGACTCCCTCGTGCCTTCCCAAAATACACACAGCTGCTCTGTTCAGAGCAGAGAGCCTGAAATTTGTTCAGGGGATCACACCTCTCAAGGCCTGTCATTGTTTAGTGACATACTTGTAATTCAGGTGCAGTAGGCCGTTGTACAGGTGGTAATTTGCCTTACTGTTGGCCTTCACGCAAAGTCCCTGCACTTCATCTGACAAAAACTAAAAGCAAATAAAAGCCATAGTTAGCTTACCGATTAAGGGCACAGAATCAGATGTTGCTGGCATAATTTCAGCCACCAGTAACATGAAGACAGTGAGAGACAATAAAACTGTTATGCCTGAAACATAAATATGAAATCAGATCAGTGGCTTGTAATTAAGGGGCAGTAAGAAGCAGAAAATGAATCTGAAGGAGTGCTCTTTGCAAGATGCATTCACGCTCTTACCCTTGCACCAGCATGTCAGTGGTACCTCATATGCTTTCTTCTACTACCTCAAGTTCAGGGTAGCAGTGCTGCCAGGCTAGTACCAATGCTTGCACAGACGTGTATATTTTTAGACCCTCATAACTGTTCAGCTTTTATCACCATTTGCTAATTAGCTGAGGTAAATCAAAGTAATTCTTGCAGCTTGTTTGCTTTAGAAACATTGCATGATTTTGAATATTTGAGCATATGACACTTGGTTAATTGGCATGGAAGCTACAGGTGGTGTAATGCGTAATATTGCTGAAGAGATTTGCTGTTGTGGACAGACTTTGATATCTTTTGGTACCACTAGCTGTGGGGTTCTGCACTTGGCTATGCCCCAGCAGTCTTGACTCTTGATTTCTGGAGTTTCACTTCTGTTGCTCAGTGACAAGTTCTGATCTTTCTGGAACAAGGCTTAGCTCTTTTCTCAGGACTAGTATTAAACAATAAGGAGTCATCATCAGGTGGAAAAAGATTTAGGACCAAAGAATTTACCTTAAAATATGGGGAGGGACTTCTTGATAAGAAGGCCTACTGCACAATTGCACCATGTTCTGGAGAAGTGTCAGTTTTGTTTCTACCTTTTAACAGCTATGTGCACTTAGTAGAAGCCGCTTTTGCAGTTTACTATGGGGCAAAAAGTTTCATTACTTACTTAACCTCTCCGTCTGAAGAATCAAGTACTTAAAGTCATCAGATTTGTTTCACAACCCAACATTTACTTAAAATTTGCTATAAAAATTAGAACAGTAGCAGTTAGAATCAGTCTTTCTGAGAAGGCACTTTAGGCTCTTAATACAACTCACTATTAAAAGGAAATATTAAGAATGATTCCATGTTGTGTTCAAATGCATATTTGTAAACTTAAGCTTTACTCAGTGAATGTGGGATTTTTCTTCAGCAAGTAATCATCAAAAAATGTAACCCTGCTTCTTGAGGAAGGCAGTCAGGAATTGTCATGCTTCTGCTGAGTTGGCTGGAATTTCTCCAGTTCCCAACTTCAGTGTGCCCTAAGCCAAGCGCATGGGTTAGACATCACACAGCTTCAGCCCCAGACAGTAAAAATAGCTCATGAGCCACGAGAGGCCACAATAGCTATTCCTCCTTGCCTACAAAGGTTGTTTAAAAAAATTCAAAATGGACAGCTTCCTTTGGTTTGGTCATATTTGCAATATCCTGTTAAGGATTTACCTAGTGAGATCTTTTCTCCCGAGTCTGCTGGAAGCAGAAAAACTAACAAAGCGAGTGCCGATATCAGTACACAAGGAATAAGAAGATTGAGTCCATAATAGAGAGTCCTACGTCTCATAGTTACTGTGAAAGTTACATCTGGGTAGGGTTCTTTACAACATTCATAAAAACTCTCAGTTCTCTTCCCAGGAACTCCTGTGTAGAAGGGAAAAGGAAGAAAACCAGAAATTAATGTGAATAGACTGTGTATTATGAAGTGATTATTTTAGAAAAGGATAAATGTAGCTTTACTATAGGTAAAACTATTTCTTTAAGCTTAATTCCCAATTAAGTAATTTTCATCAGGTAATAAAGAAAAATCAGATAAAAGATATTGAATTCAAGCAGCAATTTTGTCTCCCACTTTTTTATGTTGATTTTCATCTTGCATCTGTCTCAGAATTTCAAATACCACTAGCTAGCTTATTTATTAATTTAATTTCTGTCTTCATTTCCCAGTCACAATTCAGCAGTGGAGACAAGGCTGCAAGTTCACAGTGTAAATAAGAAATCAAGAGCTTACCTACTAAATCCCACTCTCCATTTGAAATATAGCCAGATATGTCTGCTTCTTGCATTTGTAAGTCCAAGGACCAGCCTCCATAAGTCCAGGATCCAAACTTCAGGTTACACTTCTGAACATCAAATGGAAACCAGCGCACATCTATGTAGCATGAGCTTTTAAATATGCCTAGATTGGGTTTTAAACAAGAATACTTAATTCTTCCACATAATTCCGTGTACATTTTGTAACTAGACCTTGTTCTACATTTCACCCTCTCTTCTTTACTTGTAAAGCATATTAAATCTCAGTTGTGTCTTGACATGTAAATACCAAAAGTCAGTCATAGGAAAGGGAAAGAACTGCACCATAAATTACTGATGTTATAAACTGTTTTTTGAACTACATTTCCATTTTTGCACATAGTGGTTGAATATTTAGAAAAGAGCTCAAATTTCTAGATGCTGTATTTCAGAAAGTAATTAAGCAGAATATGCAATCTGTTTCTCCTATTTCTTTTACTGAACAGAATAAGAAATCCTGAAAGTTTATTTGCTGTCTTAGTAGATTCACATGATCTTGATTTAGTCAGGAAAGCTAGCTTCTTATTTTTTGCTTGTTGAGTCAGGCCCTGTCATTTAGCAGCTTTCAGAACTGAACTGAAAACCCACCACCAAATGGAACATCTTAAATCAAAAGAACAAGAGGCAAACCCCTGAAATCCTCTGGGAATCTTAGATGGAAAAACTAATTCGTCTGGAAAACACTTGGCTCTATTGTAGCATCTAAAATTCAGATTCCAGGAAGAGTTAAGTCCAAGAATTGTGCTAATTGAGTCTGGAAACAGAAACAGTACTCCACTGCTATATATTCAGAGAGCCAGTGATCTGTTTCTCATACCAAATAAATATCAAACACAAACTATTTTCTTTTCAGACTAAAAATTGTTTTGATGAAGCATCCAGTGAATCATTTCAAACAGAAGATACATCCAAGCTGTTACTAAGCATCTTACTGGAAAGTTAACATATTAATAGAAGAAACAGCTAAATTAATGAAATTGGTTTTTATTAAGAGGCATTACTATGGCTTTAATAAACTATGGTTTTATATTAAGGGCTTTAGGTTTTTATCTTCTTTTATTCTTTCATGCTTCTGAAATAGTGCATTATTATAGAAGAATTTACATAACTGCAATAAAAAATGTATCTTATATGGTGGTTTTCATACAGAAGTGTTAACGATGGAATTCATGATGTATCTAGGCTTAAATCTTATCAGATGATGCTAGCCAGACAAATCAAATACCAGAGAATTGATGTCAAATTTGAAACCACACCATCCATAAGTAGTCTGAGTTATCGGAATTCACAACCTAAAAACAGCCTACCTGGTGGCAGATATTGGCAATGTCCTGAAGAATTGACTAAAACGTTAGTGTGAAATGTAGCATCGAACCTTTCATCAGCGCTAGAACAGGGAAGAAAAAAAATGGGTTATATGCTCTTTGCCTGGCTGAAGAGTATTTGAGATTAATCAGTTCTTCATAGAAGGATAACTCCTTCCCCAAACCCTGGCAGCTTTTCTCCTGTCACGTTTTCTGTGGCCTCAGAGTAGCTGGCCTGATACCACTGGATTTGTTCCTGATTAGCAACTTAAGTGAAGGGGAACCACCATTTTTCACTGCTCACCTATCCCACAACATTCATTACAGTGCCCTGGCTCTACTGGTTTCCGTTTGGAAAGCAAGCACTGAAGCAAACGAACAGGGAAGTCTGTTCTCTTGCTGTCTGTGTTAACAGCAGCTCATGAGTACCGAGGAGGTGGATGGTCCAGTGTCTCACCCTACCGCTTTGCATGGGTGAACGCTGTTACTACATGTCATACATAAGACTGTTCAGTGCCGCTCCAGCTGTCATTATCTACTTTCAGCAGAGAAAAGACGTGTCAGTGCAGTGGTGCTGGCCAGGACCTGGTGTGTACTTCATACACATCTCTAGAGAAGAATCATAATGTTATTTGGAGGGTGCTTCAAAATATCATTTGGCAGCTACTGCCAAGGAATATCTCAACTACATCTGAGACTATGACCCAGGAATTTACTAGGCATTAAAATTTTAAGAACTAGGCGGGAAACAATCTTTTTTCAACTAGGATGATGAAATAAAGACCTTCCAGTGAGAAGTTTAGTAAGTTTGCTGATGGAAATGACTCTATGAAAGATGTTTAAATCACAGAACATTGCAGTGGATATATACTCATGCAGTATTGTGCCCTACTTCACAGTTCCCATTTACTACTGCAGGTTTGTGTGGTAAGCTATTAGAGATTCTGGTCTATATATCCTTTAAAGTTTGGGACCTAGGTGTTCAAGACATTGTCATAGTTACTGAAATTGGTGCCTACATTAAATTGCACAGAATGTACTCGGGAGGTACTAGCAGTGAATGATCCCTGCATCTTAGAATTATTTCAGGAGCTGCTGTGTTGAGTTCACGTCTGATGCCTGCTGCCCCTGATTAGAGATATAGGCTCCTTCTCGGGCTTTCATTTGTGCTGGGGATAAGCACAATGAGACACAGGCTACTGTACTTGGTTGTAATTGCCAGTCACCTTGTGGGGTTGGATTCTTCACACAAGGCAAATAGAGTGCCAGCTGCTCTGGGGCAGAGCAAAGGAGGTCACACGAGCCTCAGGGTCTGGCTTCTTGCTGCAGTCTGTGCTTGTGTCGATCTAAAAACCTGTGTTGTCTCTAGGAGGATTTGAGCATCACAAATCTCTGATGTCAGTCTGCCTGTAGTGGTTTAGTATCTCACAATTTCCTAATCACCTCTAAAATATCATCAGGAAAATAGAGTAAGAATCTAAGATGGGGAGAAAGAATTCTAATTCATAATTCTAGTAGAAAATAAGGTATAATAATCATAGAATCATAGAA